GAAGCATGTTGATATGTCAGAAAGGAATAATATTAGTAAAGGAGAGAAGGAGAATTCATATAGACCCCTCAGATACTAGGTTTCTAGTTTGATGGCTACTTCAATATTAGCATTATTAATTTCATTCAAGGGGAAAGTTGTTCTTTACAAATCAGCTACAAAATATTTTGTTTTAACAGTAGACATTTTTCAAAATGGATCCACTCTCCAGTTCTTTTGACTATCAACTTTCCACATCAAAATCAGATCACATTCAGATCACAATGGCTATCAAGGGAGAAACTAAATGTCATATGAAGCGAGAAACTGGTCAAAGAATCAGAGGGGCCACAAGAAGCAGAAATGCCAGGCCAAACAAATAATATGGGAACACACTACTGATGCCCACTGAAGATCTTAAAAACAGAAAATTAAATCAACAAGAGAACCAGAAATGTGGAACTAATGGGAGAATTTAGTTATCCAGAACACAGTTGTACATGCAATTAACAAAACAAAAAATATTTCTTAATACACTAAAAAAAACCTGTAATTAAGAATGATTAGGGAACCAATAAGAACCAAAAGAAGAATTGAGCTTGCTTAGTTCACTGATCCTGATGGAACTGTTGCTGCTGCAAGAAAATACAGTTTCATTTACAAGGCACATGTTGCCTGTGCCCCATGTTTTAGAGTAAATATATATGGTGAATGTGTATGGCAACACAGCAGGGAATTTGGTGGCACAGCAACTGTGATGGCAGGACATACCCCAGTGGCCTGAGAGAATGATGCATTTTCCTCAACCACTGGGAAATGCGAAACCTACAACAGATCTTTCCACATTCTAGCACATAACAATTATAAAGTATACCCATACAACAAATTAAATTAGGGTAAATAGAATAAGCAGATTATATAATACAGGTGAGAAGATATCCCTTAATTTAGATACTAAGCAGCTGCTATATGTGAATGTGAAATGTAAAGATTCCTTACCCATGAACTCTGGCTATTTTACTATCAATCCAAACTATGCATAAAGAAGGAGGGAGGCAAAGAACATCCAACATAGTCGAACTTAGTTTTAGAAAAGCCAATTTAGTCGAAAGGTGAATTAATTATAAAACAGGTATGAAAGAGTTCAGAAAATCTGAAAAGATGCTTGAAACTGATGCAAACAGGCAGAGCAACAAGAATGTTGGCCACAAATAAGACTGCATATGGAAAATACAAAAGGATGGTGCCAATAAACCTTAAAAGGAAGCAAAAATCTTCCCCAACAGAAGAAAAACTGAGTTATGGGGAAACCACAGACTTTCACAAAATGTGCAAATTATAAAGGTACAGAATCACTCCGAAATGAAAATTATTGACGGTATAAACATACTGAAAACTAGTGGGGAGGTGGCAAGCCCTTTGAATGATAAAAGTGTCAAATCATTTCTAAAGGCAAAAAGGAAGGCTGCAGTGAAGCTAAATGAATCAATTTCATCAGCCTTTGCAGTAGAAGACATTGGAAGAATACCAAGATCTGGCCTATTGTTCTCAGATACAAATAATGCTTTCTGACCTGACAAACTAACAAATGTCTGTGTCTGGCAGACTCTGACATGGAAATGTACACTGCTAATTTTTTTAAAGAAAAAACAAATTAGGAAAGAAATGCACATCCACTTATTAAGAAGGATTCGGGATGATGTCACGAAATTACAAGACCTACCATCAGTTCAACCATGTCAGAAAAGATAAAATCATTACATGTATTGAAAAACACTGAACATGGCTTCATGTTCTCTTATTTTAATGATTAAAAATGTATCACCACATATGTAGATTTATGGGAAGAAGGTTGCTCCAATAGATAAGGACTGCATTCAGACTTAGCTGCACACCTTGGTCCACTGTTACCAGCAAGACAAGCCTCAAATCTGTATGCTTATTCCACTCTTCCAGGAGGAAATTAGAAGCTTGTGATCCCATAGTAGTAACTGCAATTTGCTCTTGTATGTAACCTTTGTAAACTATGGTTTAAGGTAAAGGTAAAAGTTTCCTTTGGCATTAAGCCTAATCGTGTCCAGTTCTGGAGGGTTGTGCCATCTCCATTTCTAAGCTGAAGAGTCAGCGTTATCTGTAGACATCTCCAAGGTCATGTGGTCAGCATGAATGCATGGAGCACCGTTACCTTCCTACAGAAGCGATACCTATTGAGCTACTCAAATTTGCATGTTTTCAAACTTCTAGGTTAGCAGAAACTGAGCTTTACAGCGAGAGATCACCCCGCTCTCTGGATTCAAACTGCCAACCTTTCAGTCAGCAAGTTCAGCAGCTCAGTGGTTTAACCCGCTGTACCACCAGGGGTTTACACACAACAAAATCTCCAAATGACAATCAAAACACACATCTGCCAGGTCCATGCTCTAGTTTGCTGTAAACCAGGAACAGGAGCTTCTAATATACTCTTGCATATACCAAGAAAGGGATTGAGCAGGAGCCCAAGGTTGCTAATGCTTCAGATGATAAAACACACTTATCATTATATCTGAATGCAGACTTTTGTTTGAAAATTTGAAAACACTTCTGACAAAACTCTTCAAATACATGTGGAAATTATAGTTGTAAATAACTTTTGAGGGGTTGGGAAAGAATGTAAACAGAAAATGTTCATGCAAATTAGTGGTGGAAACCATACACCCCTCCTCATAATATTGGATTCCAGCTCTCAGCACTCATTGCCATTGGCAGTACAAGTTAGGAGGTTGGGAGTTGCAGTCCAACACTTCCTGGAGAGATGCATGATTTCTACTCCTGACACAGAGAAAAAAACAAGCAGTAGGGCCTAGATCTTTGTTTGGCCAATATATTAACTTGTTCATAACTTATTCTAATCAGGAATTGATAGCGATGTAACTGAGTTTGAAGAACACACCTGGCTAATTCAGCATAGGAAAACCCAAATAAGACTAGTGACTTTATGAAGGATTTTTCAAACTTGGTGGATGAGTAACATAACACATGAAATTGAACATATCTGCAAAATGATGTGGAAAAAAATTATCATATGTACGTGTGTGTCTTGATGAGGCTTTACTCAGGAAAACAGGCTTTGAAGCTTTAAGTGTCAGTTTAGCGTAAAGCAAAATCAAATGTACTGAGTACTAGAAATCACTAGGAGAAGATTAAGCTTCCAGAATCATAATGCCTTTATATTAGACTCAACAAAGCATCATGTATACTTCTCGTTTGCATATCCCAGGTAGTAACAAAATATACACTGAGAAAGCACCACCATAACAATCCAGGAATTAAAGCACCTTTCTTACAAGAACGCTGGAATATACTTGAGGTATTTAGGTTCACAAAAATGATAAAAAGAGATGGGGCACTGAATACCATAGCGAGATTTATCTAAATTCCTTTATACCATCTCTCTATAGATGGTCATCCATGTGAGTACTTAAATTCAAAGCGCCAGACAGTTTTAATCTTTGAAACTCGAAATGTCATGGAACATGGCTATTTTATGATCTATCTTCTGCTGTACAGGTATATTCCAGTACTAAGGTCTTCCTTGAAGGCAGTTTTTCATGATCCTCTGCTCAACTGAGGTGAATAGTGATTGAGAACAACCTTTTTGGCAATATCACCTTAGGTCTGCAATGCCTTTACAGGGAAAGCTTTCTTTGCCCAAATGTTACTCTCTTTGGAACTAGGTGAAGATCTTTGTATCTGCCCAGGCTGGGAGATTCTAAAACCTTTGATTAAAAAAAAGCTGGCAAGGGCATGAATAAAGTGATGATGCCACAAACGCCCCACTGTGTGAAGATCTGCAGTTTCAGGTATGCCAACTCAGTAAACAATAATGATTACGATTATGCAATTTACTCTTGGAACACAGTAACTCTTTTCAAAGGCAAATAATAAAAATAGGTGGTTAAATATTTGACCATCATTTCCACTCTGGAATAAAAATCAGGTGAAACACAGAGGCCTTCTCCTTATGAGGAAAAAGAAAAATTCAAAAACTGCTCACTTTGTTTATGTTGAACCGGAGCTGAATTTTATTTATGGCTGGCTATGCTCACCAGAAAATACTTCAGACAAGTTGAAGGACACTGCAAAAAGCATGAACTGTCTACTGGGAAACAGCCAATAAAAAGGACAGGGAAATCACAGCCAACTCTCTGTACGCTCAATAAAATAGACAGATCTCTTTTGCCACATCCATTATGAAGGATCATCGCACTCTTACATACTGAGACTGTCACAGATTTTCTTCACACGGTCTCAGTAAAATCCACAATAATTTTTAGCTGTTGTAACATTGATTTTGATTTATGGCAGCCCTATGATAGGCTGAGCTCCAACTCATGAACAACTCTGGGTGAGTCTTGCAGGGGCCTTGGCTTCCTTGATTTATTCTATCTAATTGGGTTGTGGTCTCCCTCGTCTGCCTTCTACCTTGCAAAACACTGTCTTTCCTACTCAGGTTCTTCTCATCATAAGAAAAAAATAGTCACTTTGGATTTTAGACAGAGTTCACACTTCTAGAGAGAGTTTAGGCTATAATAATACCCTCATAATTTTTCTTTGAAATGACACAAATAAAATGCACAGAGGAATTACATTTTATTTTTAAAAAACGAATTGCTTTAAAAGTACACTTATTTCTGTAAACATGGTTTCTGCCATATTTTTCACCTCATCAAAGTAAATCTCTGTGTCAAGATGGGACTAATAGCAATGTATAGGTCAAACTGAGATGCTGGAATGTTAGTGATTGTGAAGAGCTCAGACTTTAGTATGAAAGACTCTCTATTCTAGGAGAAAAAGGCCAGCACAAGGGGATTCCAATGGCAAATAGAACAATATTCTTCACAAGCATATTTTCATATATACCCCAGCCTGCCTCTGAATTATGCTTGTTATTTCTTTATTGTTACCTTACTTTGATCTCTTACCTATTGGACAAATTATGTTTTTAGCCAAAGGAACACGGAAAGAAGCCCGGACGTACTCACCGTTTCATCTGTGCAAATGGAGTGTACCTGCGTTCCAAACATAACAGATGTAAAGATGAGAAAGAGGAGAGCCTCAAAACACAGGAGAATAAGTAGGATCACAGTAGTTGGTGGAGAGAAAGAACTGCACTCTGCAAAAACAGAACACGGCAAGCATTGAATGCTTTAGACTGAGGTGGGCAAAAAGCAGCCTATGGAGTCACATGTGGTTCCTGAACCCTACTTTTGTAGTTTCTGTAGTCTCAACCCTGCTCCCCCACCCTCTAATATAAAAGAAAGCACCATTTTCAGGCTTGTTTCAACCTAAACGTAAAAGATAGTCCTCCCAACTGTGCAAAGATATCCCAACCCCAAACAGAAAGCTTCTATAACTTTCTTCCCATTGTATCAAATTTTACCGGAGTCCTTCACAAAATTTAAAATGATGCACCACTACTTCTGGTCACCTTTTTGGAAAGGATTGGATAAATACAGAAGTGCAACACATACACAAGGGAACTTGCCCCCTGGCTCACATGCAGTTGAGCACCAGTGTTTTAGACAGAAACAGAGTCAATAAATTATACTGCTTAATATTTAAATACTCGAAATGGAAAGGAGAATCGCACTTAAGATTATTACATATATAACATGACATGTCTATATTAAATAGCACATAATAGTAAAAACCACAGTGACTAATAATTTAAAAGTATAAATTAAAAGCAGCAGTGGAATTATATAACTGAAAATATGACATCAGAAATAACCATAGTCATTTAGAACACTATCCCAACCTAGATAAGAATAGAAATGGGAATTCTAATTCCTTCAAACTTTGGATGTCAGGGTTTTTTTAAGTACATTTCTAGTCCACATCTACAAAGACAAGCTCAAGTGTATGAATGCAACTGAACACTAAAATCTCGCAAGCAGAAATGGTTGGAGTACATGGTAATGGCAGGAGAGAGGTTCAGCACATAGCAATTACAAGCAGCTTTCGTTGTATTGCCTTTTGCCTTCTCCTTTGCAGAAGGCAAAGAGAATTTGGTCACTTAAAAGTGTGCATGTCAGGAATCAGGACTAATCTGCCCCATGGATACATAAATATAGGAGAAGACGGTTAAGCAATTCCACCATGTATGGTAGATAGTGCCCCATTTTTGTTCCCACAGGGATAGGAAAGATATGACACACAGGTTTCCATCTGCAACCTCAATCTATAAACCAAAACAAATGGAAATCAAGACTAGTTTGGTTTGCTTGCATCTGCATTTATAGATTGTTCACCATAAAGGAGTCAAAGTTGCAATAAGTATAGAGGTAGCAAAAAGTGTGGCCTCTGAGCAATATGTATCTCCCAAAAGACACTTTGTTTTAAGAGGAACCAGATAATCCAAAAATATCCAAAATACACCTGGCCTCTCCACATAGTGCAGGAGACAGCACTTCCATACTGTTTGTTGTCCACTCCAAATTGTTTTAAGTTGGGAACAACTGTTCTTTCAAATCCAAAAGAGACATCCAGTATACTTCTTAGTTTGGCAAAAGGCCTCCCCTGGGGTTCCTTTGGACCCTCAAAAGTAATCAAAGCCAAGAGCTCCAGTATATACTGTTTTGATTCAACAGGATGGTTGCCTGGAAGCACTATTTTTAAGATGCTCTTGTTCTACATAGTGTAAGGAGCAGAAAAGTGCAGAGACAGGGCTGGTTTTATACCCTGCCCACATTTTTTATGCCATCTTTTATGCCCCCAGGCTATTTTAGGCCAGGGCGGCCATTTTCCTAACAGAAAGTGAATCAGAATCTGACTTCAAATTCATTATTATAAAACAAGCTCCTCTTGTTTTACAATGACAAAACGACTCCTAATAGACAAGGGAATATAGGGATAAACGATTTCAAATTTTTGTATGGCTGTGTTCTCCAAGGTCTCCGGAGAGGAGGAGCCCAATGCAGCCTCCTTCCACCAATAGTTGCCCACCATCCCAGAGGACCATTTCCAGAATATAATAATCTTTTTCATGTTTATTGCCAAGTTTATTACCTCATTTCAGTGATTTGGTATGCCACATGTATCTAATGCTTTAAATATATTTTTTCACATTGGGATAATCATACATTCACACTGTGTTGAAAAGAGGTCATGATGAATTGTGACTTGAACTGTTCTTTAAAATAGACTAAAAAACTACAAGGACAGAAACACTGCTGCCCACAACCCTCCAGAGGTGATGTATGTCATAGCTACATCATTATAGATTTCCAATGGTATAGTGGCAGCAGGATTTGTGTGTAAAAATAGTGGTAGCCGAATGGAGTGCAGAAGCTGTGTGTTGCTCACATTGATCTAAGACAATGGCCATATTTATAATGAGGCTGATGTATATGAAATTTGGTTTCTCAAACAAATACCAACTATGGAAGCTTAGCTATATTATACTAGATATACATGGTCAATTTATACACAGCTGCAATAGAATAAAAGCAAATTCTACATGGTTCGATACCATACCACTCTGATAAAACCTGATGAAAGCAAATATGGAATAACATCTATGAAGTGATACTTTCCAACAGATTTTATCCATTTTGAAAGAAAACAATGTATTACCGCTAAGTCAGAAAAGATTACATTTGTCAATACTCACTTGTCCAGTCTTCTTCAAAACAATGCAAGAAGTGAAATCCAACCATTATCAGGGCATGCAGAGAAATCAGTGCTATATACATCTGAAACAAAGTATAAGTTTCAATCTATTTATACATCTTTGGAAATGATGTCATTCCATCCACAATCCTGCTGCATGGACAAAATTTCCAATGATGTTGTGAGTGAGAAGAATGGTTTTGCAGAGCTTTAGTCAAAAGATTCCTCAGTGGCCAAACCAAGGAATACAATCACTGGGTATCATTGTTTATTTATTAAGTCATTTACATAGCACAAGAATTTAGCAATGTGATCTTTCTCTACTTTCTAGCTTTCGATTCCATCCTCCACAGAATCAGATTTATTATCAGATCAAAGCAGCATATTTTTCAATATAATTTCTTTTTACGCTAGTGCTATTTAGCAAAGAGTAAGGACCACAGGCTATTCTACACACACACTCTCTCTCTCACACACACACACACACACAAACACACCATGTTGTTCCCAAGAGTAAAAGGCAACTTCTTTTTGAGCAAATATGTACACATGGGGTTGGTAGGCATGTAAGTTGGTCAATACTGTGCCATGACATCTCAAACTATACTGCACTATACAACAGTTTATATTCCAATTCTATACAGTCATGTTATGCACAATGTGAGACTGTTCCTCCAAGATAATAGAGATTAAACAAATCTCTCACTGTCAGCTGCATTTTGTTAAAGTAGAAGAACCATCTTTAAAGTGGCTGCTTCTACTGAAGATAATCTTATGTCACACCATATTCTTCCCTCCAGCAGTTTATCTTTGCAACTCTGTCATGTCTTTATTTGCAGAAATAATTTAGTAAGAACTAGCTCAGTCGCTCTTTTTCTCTGAAGAACAAGCCAAAGATCTAAAGAGCTTAACAGTAGTTGCCAATTTCTAGCTGAAGCTGAAATCCAAGACAAGCATTCAGGACAGACAGATATTATTCTAGCCATTATGATTCAAGATTCCTTATCTTCTACCTCATCTGCTAAATTACTTCAGGCAGAGAATGAATAGACCTAGGTATACCCTGTGGAATGCTACCTGGAATAAACTAACTCAAGAAGGGATCAATTTTCTCCCATTAAATTATACTAGACGCCATGAGATAACAGCAATTTCCCATCCAAATTAGATTAAAAGTTTTAAAATAGAACTATTGATAATGTTAGAAAATGTTAGTGAAATGGAGATACAACTGGAAAATTCCGAAGACATTCCAATCTGACCCTGTCTGCCAAGCAGTCAAGTCTTAATGCCAGTCAAGTTTTCCCTTCTCACTAGATTATACATGACCAGAGAAGGTGAAGCAAAAAAGTCTCCAGGCAACCAAAACAAACATAGTGTTTTTAAATAAGGGGTGTCAGTGGTGGTGGGGCTACCAGACAGCTTTGCTAACAGCAGAAAGATACAGCTGGATATGAGGGAAAAATGAGAAACAGATGAAATAAGATAGGCTTTAGAACTTTCAAAATATACAATGATACATGGAATAAAGAAAACAACTGACAATTACTTCCAAGAACCTGGCTTGATTCCTTAATTACTTTATCTCAAACATTTTGTGATGTCAATGAAGTGTTTTTGTTTCTCCAGGAATATTACACTATAATTATTTCAGTGGGCAAAGAAAACAACACAAACAAGTCCTACTTGAAGGTCTCTGTTTGAACTACATCATAACAAATTCACTCAGTGAATTACTTACTGTAAACAGTACAAAGTACTTCTGGTTGTTCTCTCCTACACAGTTGTTAACCCATGGACAGTGGTGATCCATTTTCCGTATACATCTCTTACAAACACTAAAAGAAGAACCAAAATATGTGTACAATACATTGCAATAAAATCCTGACAATTATCCAATCTACCCCTCACTATTATTAGATCATAGAGAAAACACTGCCTCTTTTTCAAAAAGCTGTTTTCAAGTGACCTAAACTGAGGTCATATCATTTTAGAGGCCTAGCATTATTCATAATTGAAGAAACACAAGTTGGATTTGGAGCAGCATTAATAAGTGATAAACTACTGCAATATTGTCAGCCGACTCAGACATTCTTGTTTTGACTGCAATTATGTGAGCACAGCTCATCACAGAAGCTTAATCTGATTTATGTTCATTTAAAATCTTACCACATTAGAAAATGTTATTACTTCTTTTTGAGAAAACAACGCTTGTTTGAAGTGCAATTCACCGTCATACCATCATTTCAAGTCAGAAGTGCTCTCAGGAACTGGATCTATGACAATTGCATTAACTACACCCTGTAGTTTCTGGTTTCTCTCCTTCCAGCTATAAAAAAACATAATCTAAAAAGAAAGTGGGGAGGACTGCAAGGCACATTCCAATTTCCACTAATTTAGTTTTTGTTGTGATGCATATACTTAGCTCCAAGTCAAAAGCTGATTATTTCTGTAAAGAGACTGTCACATTTACCTTGGGGTGGGCTTTTTTAGTATCTTTTTTCATACAAGTGACTGCATGTTTATCTACTCAAGCACTATTAGAGCACGCTTTCTTATATGCCTTTCAACACACAGTCAAAGCACACATTTTAAAAAATAACTTGAGAACTAATGGCCACAAGTTTGACTTTCTGCATGGGTTTGTGGACTTATAACCAATATTGTGGGCAGATCTAGTCAAAGAAATGGTTCAGAATGTATAAATCTGGCCTCTAATTCAAATGAGAAAAACATCTGTCCTGAGTCTAAGCCCATGGAAACATCACAGAGACCATGATTCTGCAAGTATCTGACCCTGAAAATTACCTCTACATGTACATGCATACTTTGTTCCTCTTCTTAATAGTAATACATATTACTGTTGTTCTATGCCTTCTGACTTAATGGCAACCTATCACAGGGATTTCTGGAGTTGAGAATGTGTGACTTGATCAAGATCACCCAATGGGTTTTCATGGCCAAATGAGGAATCAAACCCTGGTCTCCAGAATCATAATCCAATGCTCAAACCACTACACCAAACCGGCTTTCAGTGTGATACACACAGGTAAACCTAAAAACCAGTTAAACAGAATCTTAGAGTTAGAGGAGATCACATGGGCCATTGGGTACAACCCCCTGCCATGCAGGAAAAGCACTGCAACAAATGGCCACCCAGCCTCTGTTTAAAAGCCTCCAAAGAAGGAGCTTCCACCACACTCTGAGGTAGTGAAATATATGGAAGTATGTTAAGCAGAAAGCATGGCTGTGGGGCCTAATATGTGGCCACCCCCAAAATCCACCCAGAACTTCCAGAACAACTACAGCCGAGGCAAGAAACTTTGCTGAGTCAACCTGGTGAAAATAACTATTTCCCTGCTACCTGTTTTACCTACTTCCTTACACATACAGCAACACAGGGAAGTAGGATCATAGATTACCGATATGGTACATGCATGTGGGTTTCTTTTTCAAAATGTTTTCAGTCATGGCCAGGGGAACCATGCCAAATCCCAGTTCTACATGGAGTTAGGGACAAAAAGTATAATCAACAAGGTAGAGATCTCCTCCATGAGCAAATTAAATACTGGAAAGTCACACCAAGCTACCATCTGATAACAACTGGAAGTATATTATCAATGTCAATAACATTCCTCCAAGTATTAAGCTTGGGATATGTTGGAAAATCATTATTTCAGTGTATCAATTTTATAAGAAAAAGTGCTTATATCATCACAATGGACAAGCGAAATAAGATATGTGCTTTGTTCAGTTCCCAACTGAACACAGGGTTAAACCCCTGTGCCGGCAGGACTGAAGACCAACAGGTCGCAGGTTCGAATCCGGGGAGAGCGCAGATGAGCTCCAGCTCCTCTAGCTCCTCATGCAGGGACATGAGAGAAGCCTCCCGCAAGCATGATAAAACATCAAAACATCCGGGCGTCCCCTGGGCAACGTCCTTGCAGACGGCCAATTCTCTCACACCAGAAGCGACTTGCAGTTTCTCAAGTCACTCCTGACATGACCAAAAAAAAAGTTCCCAACTCAAGTCACAGGAAAAACTAATTCACTTGTCACCAGTATAAACAAACAGCAGCAGCAACAATAACAGGACTGAACCTAGGAACTCAAATTTAAAAGTCCATGTTCTGCAATAAATTTGTAAAGCAGCCTCCAACTTCACACTAATAATATGTACATGATATTTTCCCCTTTCAGTCTTTTTATTTACAAACTTTTCTTGCTTAGTCTGTCTGGAGCATAGTTGTTTTAACACTGATATAACACAAGAGGACCTTTATAACAACAACAGTAGTAATAATAATACCTGCAGTGGTGTGCTCTGTCTGGTTTGATACTACAGCATTTTGGACACTTGTAAACCACCTGTCCTGGTTTCAGCTGTAAACTTTCTATGAATTCCTTTGTGGCATTACCTTTGGGAACAGCACCCTGGAAATGAAAATATGACAGAGCACTTTTAGTAATCAGAAAACCTAGTAGGTCCCATTACCAAGGTGCTGTATATGGATGCATCTCCTAGGTTTTAAGGAAGCCAAATGGTAAAACTGACAGGTTGGCGTTAGTACCTCTTTACTAAAAGTTCAACATAAAACCTCAGGTGGGAAATGGAAGAATAACATTTAATGAGTGTTCATCACATGTATCAAAAATACAAGGAGAAAATATAACAACTATAGGAACACAGATGTAATCAAAACCTCAGTTATAACTACTAATAACTTAATGCAGGGCATGGGCAATGTGTGCCTTGTAGGTTGCATACAGCACTTGAAACCACAAGTAAAGCCCCTGATAACTATCCTAAAGCCGCCCCCCCCCCCCAAATTGTGTGTGTATGGGAAATCAGGGTGATTTTTAGTCATGTTTGGTAGCAGTATTTGCATGAATGTTGCAGCACTTTTTCAGTTTTCATGCTCAAGTGTACCTAAGCCACTAAATCAGTGGTTCGAGAACCACTGCACTAAATGAAGACCTGACCAATCCCCACTATCTTCTTAGGGAAGCCCTCACATTTAAACACATGTACTCACAAAAAGAGACTGAACTACAATGAAACAACTATAAACAAATAATTGGAGTGTTCAGCAGTATAAGTTAGGATAGGAAAACACTTGGCTTTCCAGATTTTGATGGCTGCATCTCCCATCAGCCCTAGGTTGCCTTAACAATGGGAAGACTGATGGGAATCCCAGTCCAACATCTAGAAAGCATAATGTTCTCTATCCCTGGATTAGAAAGATGTAGTTTAATTACTCTTTGGGCACATAAACATTGGGCAAACTATTTGTTTATGTGAACTTTAAACATGCTCTCTGGCAAATCTTAAAGTGCTAAAATGCACTTTGATTAGACTTTTGTCATATAATAAATCAATGCATGCAGAGCACTAATAAGAAAAGCTCAAGTTTTTTTTCAAAATACAATTTGCTTGCAATTATACTTCTCTGAAGAGGCAGCACACAACAGGTTTTTCCAGCTTTTTTGTTCACCATGTCATGACATGTCAGGAGCATTATCTATACTGCTGAAGAGGACAGAATTGAAAAGTTTCCCTTTCTCCTTCTTTTGTATTCTCAGACTTATTCAGAAAATACCTAAAAATCACCTTTTTGAAACAACTATGTTTCAAAAATGTAACATTTCATCTCAGTCAAAGAAGGAACATTTATACAAACCTTGTCATTCAATTTGCTCATAAAATCACACTAAAGAACAAATGATGGCAGCTGGTTAATATATTTTCAGTGACAACACTTACCGGATCTGTTACCATTGCTCGCATATGTGAAGCCAGAGCCAGGAATGCCAAAGTGTTGAAAACTATTCCGTTGATCACACTGTAGATATAGTCTCTTGAAGGAAGCAGCATAACAAGGATGACTACAAAATCAGCATAGAAGACCAAAAACCAGGTGATGACTCCACAGGCGATACCACAGCCATCTCGGATAAACCACATGGTTCCCGAAGAACCGTTGTTGGGAGGTGGGACACACTTGTCCGGCTGGAGATATTCCGGTTTCCTTTCAATGTCTCTGAAGCGGTGGACTGGAGTAATCATCATAGACTATAATGTCCATTCTTGGATCTGAAAAATAGGTGTTGATGGGGTTTTTTCTCCTCTCAAAAGTATTCCACTTTGCAAACTTAACTGAGGACTTTCTGCGTTGACATGCAGCTCATGGATGGAATTATAACAAAGGGCAGACTGAAATAAAAGCAAGCTCAGTAATGGTGGGTAAGGGATTCAGCATGCCAAAACCCCCTGCTATCAATCACTTCTCTCTTTTCTTTTTTACAAAATTATCCCATCTCAACCTAACCATATTTACATTACACCTAATAAATGCTTGACATATTGTGGTACAATTTAAAAATGACAAGAATAAAAATTAGCATAAAATATGAATTTTAGCATCTTATTGATTTTTGATCTATTTTAACATACTGTATATATACTCATGTATAGCGACCACATGTACAAGTTGTGGGCAGATTTTGGGTCAAAAATTATTATTTTGATATGACTCTAGGATAAGTCATGGGTCATTCCACAGAGAGAGGAAAGCACCAATGCTGCTTCAGGGATCCACATTCCCCGTTTTGCCACCCAGGCATTCAAAAAGGCCAGGAGGTGATCCATGCCAGACAAAGTACAGCAGGTCAGTGCTTCTTTTAGGTTTTCCTGGTGACTGACAGGTCATGCTTTCATAACTACATTCAGAGAAGATGATAAAAGTTAAGGTACAGTACTCATATTGGGTTGATTTTTTTTTATCTGCATTTTAGACTTATACATGAGTATACAGCGGGGGTTCTTAAAGTGTGCTCCATGAAGGGAGGGGCTCCACAAAGCATACTGAGGGGCTCCACGCTCCCTCCTCCTCCGCCTCCAAGACTTCCCTCCTCTTTCCTGCTCCTTCCTCTTCCACCACTTGCCTTTTTCCCTTGGCCCCCTCACCTTCAAAAGGCTTTTTTACTTGGGTCCCTCACTGCAAAAAGCCTTGATTCCTCAGCCCCTTCACCACAAAAAGCCTCCCCCTCCTCCCTTGCCCCCAATAGGCTTTTTCTTGTCTCTCTCACCCCAAAATCCTTTTTCCTTGCCTCCCTTGTTGCCAAAGCCTTTTTTCCTCATCTTCCTCACTGCCCAGATCTTTTCCCCCTCACCTTTCTTGCTTCCAAAACCCTAATTCCCTCCCACTGCTCAGGGAGTGCTTTGATTGTGCTTCTCCTGCATGGCAGAAGGGGTTTGGTCTGGATGCCCCCTGGTGTATTCCACTGAAGTAGTGTTAAGTTTACATTGGTCAAAAAGTTTTCCCATGCTTGATACACACACACACACACACACATACACATTATCCTAACCTATCTGGTTTGTCGTCGATCCACTCCTTTGAGCTTCACGCAAATCTACCATTTGCCAAATATATAATGCATAACCACCATATATATCAAATGGTAGATATACATTATATATAATATAATATATAAACATTTATTGGGGCTCCACGAGAAACATTTGATTCAAAAAGGGCTCTGCGGCTGAAAAAGTTTGAGAATCGCTGGTACATAGAGTAGTTATGGGTGTACTGAATTTCTGAAAAACAGATATTTACGTATCTGAAGTACTAATATACCAATCTCTCTACTGTCTGGGTGCTATAGTAAATTTAAAATGATAACAAAACCAATTATAATCGTTGAACAAATCTTTTCAAATCAATATCCATGCATAAGTTAGTCAACATTTCTTCTACAATTATACCCTCATATTAGGAATATTGGGAATTATGTATTTTTCCTCCTTAAATCCATAATCATAACATTCAACAAACTTAACTACACAATTTCTAGTAGACCTTGGGGAAAACTATTAGCTTTGGTGACTCAAAACTCACTGGTTCGGTTCATTTAGCAGCATATTTTCATCTTTCATCATGGACTTATCATTGCTCCTCATTCCCACCAGGTACCCAGTGCTAACCAGGACTAATCTTCAGAAGATATTCCTTACTCCAACTCAGCAGGCCCACAGACTTGCAATGCTTTGACACAGATTTACCTGTTTCTGTAGTGACCAGCATTCCCTTTTTCTTAAGCAATTTGACCCATCTAGATATCATATGGCTATTTTCTGCCATTCCTTCCTATACTTGGTTATCTTACAGATAAGAAACAAAGCTTTATGGAATCCAGTTTGCAGTAATGGAAAAGTAATTTTTGATCTCTTGTCTTAGGTTCTGAATATTATCTAAAGGGGAAAGCCAAAAGCTAAATAGAGAAGCCTTTATAAGAACAATGAGGGAATCCAATTGTTTCAAGCCTACCAAACATGTTTAACCAGGCACAAGAGTTTGGAAAATAAAAGGCTGGTATACATCCTAGGGGAAGCAAGGCCTCTTTAAATCACTGTCAACACAACCTAATGTCTGCTTTCAGTTTGATAGTGTTACTCTAGTTACAGATAATCGACCATCCCACAGTATTTTGTTAAATGTCAGAGTGGCATTGCACAAACCATCTTATAATCAATCCTGTCAATATAGTATAAAAACAGTACTCACTCCATGATTGGAGGGAACATATATTCAGTTCATGCCAGCTTTCTGATCCATCAAGATGGGATATTTGTTAGTCAACATTTATAGAAGTGTTTTATGTACAGCCTGGAAACTGGCCAAGCTGGCTAAGGGATTTTGGAAGGTGTTGTCCCAAACCCTTGACTTTTCCAAACTCTGTTTTTTGAGAAAAATCAAGAGTATGAGATTGTGGCTACCCACCCTAAATCTGAAGGAAAGACCAGGCTATAAGTAATAAATTTATAAATGTGCACAACACATTAATAGTCTTGCTGTACTGATGTTTTTGTTTTTATTTTTGGAAGATCAAAGTTTATTTATTTTTCTACCAGCATACAAAAACATATTGCACATCAAACAATCAAAACAAAAATAAAAATGCTCTAAGGACTAACGTATCTAGTTTATACAGAATAAACTTTCTGGAAATTGATCTTTTCAGTAGTTCTGGTTTGTCTTATATGGACATGACTATTTCAGCTTAAATGTTTTAACTAAAGCTGTGTTTGATTTTTAAATACTGTACAGTTTAATAAATAAATCAAACAAAGCCTCAATCTAGAACAGTCACTGCCAGTACTGATGTTTTTAAAAAGGTAATAGGAGCCTTGGCAGAACTAATACTCTTAGTACTTTGATCTTTGGAACAAGGGTCGAGACAGTCTCCATTGAAAAGAGTGCTTGTACCCAGGCACACAGTAAACATTTCAGTGGTATTTTGAAATTAAACAATCACAAAAGCCAAGACAGTTATTGAAAATAATGGAGATTGCATTATCTTTCATCTAACTAGGTAGGATAGGGTCACATTTTGTTGCAGACTTCATCAGACTTATAAGGTAGGCCTTTTCCAACACTCGTCATTTGAAAAGTCACAAAGAATGTATCCACATTTTCTCCATCTGCCACATATAAATTTCTTCTTGTTTATTCAAAGAAATTACACACCTGGGACTAAAACTGATCCAAAATGCTGCATTTTGCTGTTGGGAACACATTGTGGATCCCACCAACTGAAATATATTAGGACAAAAATTGTGATGTCATTTTGTGGTCAATTCATTTAAATCCACAGATTCTGCATCCATGGATTCCATCATCCATGACTTGAAAATGTTCTGGGGGTGCCCTTTTAAATAAGACATGCCACTTCATGACGCAATTTTATATAATGGGGCTTCGTCTTCAAGGGAGTCATGGAAGCAAATCACAGTGGACACCAAAAGCCCACTGTACAATGCAGAGATGCTGGACCAGGCATCCAGATGCAAAACAATCCCTCTCCTGTTGGGAGAGACAATGGAAGAAAAATGTAACCTGAAACTCTGTCTGTGCAAATGTAAATTGCAATTTACTAAAATACTGAAATGTCCTGTTCATGAAGGTGAAAATATACAATTACTTGCTTTAGGAAATCAATTCCCACTGGCAGAAGAAGAAAATATAGGGGGGGTAGTGATTCATTTCACCTGCCTTTCATGCAGTCAGTAACATTATTGTGCATCAGAGGAAAATCTGAAATGATGATTTCACAGTGACTGAGAATGATCACTGGGCATGTGAGATATGGGGCTAGTTGCCAAAAGCTGCTCATAACCTTGAAGTCACTGATTCATTAAAATATTTATCAAGTACAAGCATAACTGAACAACAGCATGTGGAAATGACTCCAAATAGACATGGAAGAAATTCATCCTGCAACCAGAATTCTAAAACTAAAGGTAGGAAAGCATCAACTGCATGGTCACCTGATCCTACCCAGAAAAGAACAAATGTAGATATAGATGTCATGAACAAGAATACACATATTTAACTATAGGAAATCCAGAGGCATAATTCGGGAATTCAAAAGCAAAGAAACAGTACAATAAATGCTTGAAGTGTTCCATACACAAAGCATTCCTTTACAACATAATCTATGGAAGCCTACCAAAGTGCAAATGAGGAAATGAGGGCTAATAACTTAGAAGAGACACTTAGCCTAACTCATGTGGGTTCAAACCTGCTACAAACAATGCTCTCAAGCAAATCCACAAGCAAATCCACTTCAGTAGAAATATTAGATGCATTTCTAGATGTAGCATTATACGTAGAAAATTGGTCTTGCACCTCAAAATTAGAAAGCCTTATAAGCAGGCTACAAATGATGAAAACAACAAAATCATCTGTTTACTTAAATTCAGAGAAGCAGTGATGATGTGCTGCAAATGAGAGCCGTTTTTTTTTTTATTGTTGGCAAGTACTCCTCCCATTATGGATTACGAAACATTCCTCTTCTAGGTGTAAGAAGTAACCAGAAGCCAAGAGAGAGTTGGGAAAGACTGATTTAAGCAGTCTATGACACAAATCTGAGCTTCCCCACTCATCCACATCTAATTTTCTTTTGCTTCTGTAGTTTCAGCAGCTGATTCAGAATTTGGCAAAAGACAATTAGATGAATATGAGTAACAGACTCACTATTTCTACTCTCCACTATGATTCCTGTCATGCTTTCATTAGAAGTCCATAATATGTCAATAGTAAAAATAGTCTTACAGGGATCTAAAATACCTTAATGAATTAAAATGCTATTACAGAAAAAGAGTCCTTAAAAACTCTCGACATTCAAATCTGGGATTTTACTGGGGGGGGGGGGGTGTCTTGTGAAATTAGATAGAAAAGGGAAGGAAGGGGATTAATTCTTGCAGAATTCTGAGGTTCAGGCTTAAATGTTCAAATAAAAGTAAAGAAAGCAAATATAATTTTCTACCTTCAAGATGCTCATGCTTTTGAAAGCTGTATTAAGCCCAGACACTCTGGATCAGTTCCTCCAAAATATATACAAGAAGCAAATTAAACAAGCTATTAAAATTGGCTCAGTGTGCAAGACAGCACTTAAATTAACAAAAATATAGAGTGCCATCATAATTCATGTCTGGAAACAGATTCAGAACAGACTTTTATAATCATCTATTTGACAGACTGTTTCCTAATGTATAAGAGAAAGATCTTGAATCATATTTTCTACCCTTCTCCTATTTAAACATATCTAGTTATCTTTGTAGAATATATTGGTTTAGAGCCAGCACTAGTGTTTAAAAATGTTTTGTCAATCACTTCTCAAAATAATTCCAAGTAATTTGGGTCAAAGTTTAATGAAATCATATATACTTCTGAGGTTTTTGAACCTGTGTAAGTTAAATTCTCTAGGAAACAATGTGGAAAATAGAAATGCTTGGACTTTTTTACATCTAATTCCCAAGTTTAGAGATTTCTGCTACACAGATTGACTGAAGGAAATATTATTATAATTTAAGAAGCAATGGCAAACTGGAGTGTTGTGTAGTTTTCAGGCTGTATGGCCATGTTCTAGCAGCATTTTCTCCTGATGTTTCGCCTGCATCTGTGGCTGGCATCTTCAGAGGATCCTCTAAAGATGCTAGTCACAGATGCAGGCGAAATGCAGGCGAAATGCTGCTAGAGCACGACCAAACAGTCCAGAAACCACACAACACTCCAGTGATTCCAGCCGTGAATTGCCTTCAACAATACTATGGCAAACTGTTTCCCATTGTGCAAGCCCTAATTTCTTCTCATTGCTTTCAAACTTTGGAGGGAAAGGCAAGTATTACAATAGCATTAAGAAAGAGAAACCGTTTTCTTAAAGATTAGTACCCAAATAATTTCCTTTCAGCATAGAATGTAACTTAACGCAATGGTTTACTGCACTGACAACATTATGGGTCCAGGTATTTCAGGCTCATCAAAACAATAATGCAGGCATATGTACAGATATCAGATTTATAGGACTGGCATTAAGGTCTATTTGTGGCCTGTTATTTCTAACACACCGGAACTAAAAAAAAAAGAGTAAATCTTCTGAAACACCCTATGAATGACTCATTCATCTTCAGCCTTTTGTGTGTGTTAACACATAAATCCTGCTCTTCAAGTAACGCCTTCTCAGTTATAGGATATAATTATTATCTCTTGCTATTAATCCAGGTGGGGTGTCCTTAATCCACTCATCCAAATGTGTTGCTCTTCAAACTTAATTTTTTTTCCTAACCACCAACAACCATGGTGACTAGGGAAAGTGGCAGCCCAATCTATCTGGAGGGCAATCAGGACTGGGGGGAACAGCTGGTAAACTGGCTGGGATTTCTGGGAGTTGTAGGCCAAAACACCTGGGGATCCACAGGTTGAGAACCACTGCTCTAGAACATGGCCATACAGCCCAAAAAAACCTACAACAACCCAATAATAATCACTTTATTTTTGTCCCCCGCCTCCATCTTCCCGAAGGGACTCGGAGGGGCTTACACGGGAACAATGCGAAGTCCTGGTTCTACAAAAGATAGCACTATAGTGTGTGAGAAACATACTAGTTTATTATGACACAAATATGCACAAACTACAGCGTGATGCATTCACTGGACTACAAATATATGACCTAGACAACCAGTGGAGTACAGTTGTTTGAGCATTGGACTATAGACTATGAGTCTATAGACACCAAAGTTTGAATCGCTGTTCAGCCATGGCCTTGGACATCTCACACTTTCTCAGCCACAGAAGATGGCAGAGGAAAAGCCCCACTGAACAAGTCTTGGCAACAAAACCCTGTGATAGGTTCAACTTAGTGTCACCATAAGCCAGAAATGACTTGAAAGCACGCAACAACAAATTACAAACTACAGTACTACAGGCTAAAACTGGAAATTGCTTTTAACAGAGTGAAATTAATTATAATGGAAGCACAAAAACATTCCCTGAATACACAAGAACTAATCATAAGAACAACAGACAGTCAAATGGGGAAATATATACTTTGGGAAGGATAACCTGTAATTCACATTCAAGCTAATGAAAATCTATGCTGGAACAGCATATAGTAACTATTCTATGAAAGTGCTTCATTTAAATGCATACATAAAATCAGGTACTGAATAAAACAAAGTCAGCTACTGAATAAAAAAAGACTGAGAGATTGTCTGTCTGAAAGATCCAACCCCTGCCAGTACGACACATTAATATTAAATCAGGTGATGATGAGGGGATGTAGCACATATAAGCAACATAAAGTATTTGTGCAATTTGGGACCATTTCAAAGTTTCCTTGGTGCATTAAGGCTACTACCGGCCTCTTTGCAGGTTGGATTTCTGGACAGACCAAACCATAATGGAAAACATAAGCTGCTTGAAATCTTTTTAAAATGTACCCCCACTGTAATTGTCTTGCATGTGAGTCCAAACCAGGAGGGAGTTCCATCCCTTCTTCAGCAACATACCAACTTATCCCTACGCAATTCCTTCTTCAAGATCACACAGTGAGTGAGTTTTTATGACTGCAGGGATATTTGAACTTGGGCATCTGACACTCTTCCATCTATTCTATATATTATCATGATACACACTATCTCAAGTGGCAAAGCATGGGTGCAAAGAACTGAAGAACATTGGTAAATAATGTATCACATGGTGTTTAGGCATTATCAACTGATGCACCAGGGAATAAGAATATAGAACACAAAATGCTTTTTATGACTCGCAATCCAACCTATAGGTATGATACTCTGTCAAAATGTCTATCTAAGTTATTTAAAGAGTTCACTTACATATGAAAGATCACCGCAAAGTTTGTTGATGTTTTGAGTAACCATTTTCCATGGAAAGTCTTTAGTTTCTTTTTTCTGATCAAAAAGTAAATTTCAGATTTACATGGATCAGGATATTTGCAAGACTTGGAAGATCACTTAACACTGGATCAAAACAAACCAATTAATTAAAAAGCCTTTTGGAACCACCAGTTCAGCAAAACGAGATGATGATACAATATCATATCTCAATTCACAGCAGTCAGCAAAATGCTTTCAAATGCTAATGTGTGGTAATTCATGTGTGATCAGGTTACAGTGGGACAGATTATGCAGATGGTATACTTCACTTTCTCAGTGTTACGGACCATTATTCCTTTCTGCATCTATGAAAGGCACAAAATTGAGATACTTTTTTAGTGGAGTCTAACAGATATGTGAAAGGACACTGTGAGAAAAGAATACAAAAAGGTACTATCTGCATTGATAGATTTTTTTTCAATGTCAGAAGCAACTTGAGAAACTGCAAGTCGCTTCTGGTGTGAGTGCTAGATGAAACTGAATAATAGATGAAACTGTTCAAACGAAGGATGGATGAGAAGTACAAATAAAAATGGGAAGAAATTGTGTCCAAACCATGAATACAACTGTTAATTTGTGTGAAGGTACAAGAACTGATATAATATTCAATGCAGAGAAACAGAAGACAACAAAAAGGTAGAATAAGAGACCACTTCCACAAGATCCAAGAAATCAAAGAGAAATTTAAGCCAAGAGTGCAGATGCTCTATCAACACAAGGGAAACACACTGCATGATCAATAATAAATAAAAAGTAACAAAACAGAATCAATTCAAATTCTTAGTAAATTCTATCAGTAAACATGGAAAGCAAAAGACTGGAAGATTCCACAGATTGAAAAGGCACAGTTTCCAAGAAATTGGATCACAATCATAGGACTATTGAATTAATTTCCTAGGCAAGCAAACCAATATTCAAAATTCTGTAAGAAAAGTAAGAGTCACAAGGGATCATTCCATAAGTATAAGTTGAATAAAGGAGTGCGTCAAAGATTTTCAGAATAGTAAATTGCTAAAACAACTGCCGATTACAATTTGGTGTGTGGAGAGCAATACAATTTTAGTGCAATAGCTGTGGTGTTAACAAGGTGAATTTGTGACAACACAGGAACTGAATAAACTTAATTACAAGTAGATTATTTGTGTTGCAAACAAGTTCAAAGACAGAGAAAAATGCAATCCTATACATGTTTACTGAAGAGTAAACTTTGTCAAATTCTGTGGGGCTTCCTTCCAGATAATATATATAGGACTGCAATCACAGTGGCTTTTAGATAATGAACATGTCAGTTAAATAATAAACAAATGAACAAATTTGCGTTCTCAGTTATGCAGTTATTCACTCTCACCTAAGCATGGGAAATCTTAAATTTTGCAACTTTGATTTGTCCTGAGTCAGCATAAAAAATGGAGTATAAAAAAACATTGCAATTATGAACATTGCTTTTTTTCCCCCTCAAGGGAAAAAGAATGTTCACCTCTTAAAAGTTTGCTATTATTCTGAAATTGTGTCATGATAGTTGAAGTGCTACTAAATTGCTTTAATTCTGTAGATTTTGTTGCTTTGTTGCCCACTCCTGTTGAGGAATACTCAAGAAAATAATTCAAAAGTGTCGATATGTGCAAAACTGTCAAGACTTGTTCCAAGTAGTAGGCATATTGAGACTGAGGAGGCATTTGCCTCTTCAAGTGTCAAAGTAAACTGACTGGTGAAGAAGTACAGAACACTTTGATTTGGGGAAAGGAGGGGCAGCACTTACTGCTTGGTTCAGACAGCAAAATGCATTGGGCCAGTTTTGAACCCAGGTGAAAAAAACTGAAGATCAGTGACAAACTCCTGAATTTTTCAAAGATATGGGTTAATGGTAAATTGTCAATTTAGACATCAAAAACTGAATGCAGTGCCTCCTTAGCATTAGGAAAAAAGACGTGTTCCATTGAAAAGCACTATTTGTTGCTATAACTGAAGAATTTCTAATAATATCAATCACTATCAATTTAAGAATGAAAGAAATAAGCAACATATAGCAATTCTTATCAGATTCAGTTGTGTTTATTACCAAAGTATATAGATGCCAGAACAATACAGTACAGATTATTATTAATCAGAATATGTAGTTTTACCTTATGCTTCTGCAATTAACACTAGCAGATATTAACTGTGGCAATATTAAAATCAACATGCCAGAGCAACTTCTTGGCTTAGCATTAAGGCCAGTTTATGACAATATTCCACAGTTAAATACAGGACTATGTGATAGGGATGTGTCCAGGCCATAGTTCTTGCCTTGTGAAATCTCCGTTTCCCTTAGTGCTTATCTCAAAATACCATGCAGTTCCTTCTCCAGGAAGCGTAGCCTTAGTTCCACACCCAAATGCAAAATCTGAACAGAATTTCAGGGCAAGCTCATAACTATTCCATGAAATACGTTCAGTCGAAATAGAGCAATTGATGCAGAATCATTCAGAAACTTTAATTTAAGCAAGTACTTGATTCAGAGTTTTCCAAGTCCAGTACTAATACCTTATACACTGCGCTGCACTGCTTGAATTAATTTGGGAGTACCCCGAAGTTCACGCTCTAGTAGTAGTGTGCTCTTTAATATTTTCTTCATTGGTCAATTGGCACCTACCTAACGTACACCTGCATATACTATTGTTTTCCTTCAGAAGCATCAAATTATCACCATATTGTGAAAGTGATAAACCCTAAGGCCATTAAGAAGATGCTCTTTACCTGGGGGAAAGTATTTTATTTTCCTTCTTGTGGCAGGCTGAAATATTTTTATTCAGGCAGGCTATCAAAGCAAAGTTTTAAGAACAGGCAAGGGCTACACAGTGTTCTGAACTGTTTTTACTTATTCATCTTACTGAGATTTTAAATTGTTTTAGTAATTGTAACATTTAATTCTATTTTAATATTTATATTTTGTGGGTTTTTAAACTTTATGGTTTTTAAGGTGGTGAGTTGCCTTGGGTCATGGTCCTGAGGGAATATTTGGGGTATTACTACTAACAGCAACAATATCAATAATAAACAGCACCAATGCTGTTTATGACAGGGGATGGCAAAGGTTTAGTTATCCTGATCAATAATCCAGCCTGGATCAAAATGGTATTAATTTCCATTGTTTAAAAAAATGAAGTGCACAACTAATTACAAACGCCATGGGTCAAAAGTCTCAATGGTCCATAACCTACAGTTTGAGAATCATTATGATAATGAAAAAGCCAGTGTTGTACACTAGTTTCAATGTTGAAACAGGACTCAAAACACTTGATTTCAAATCCCTGCTCAGACATAGAAAATCACTGGGAAAATCACAGCCTTAGATGAAGACACTACCAAAACTATTCTGAATATATCTTGCCAAGAATACCCTATGAAAGAGTCACTATACTCATAAGGAGGAGTCACTATAAGGAGGAGTCAACATGAAAGCATACAACAAATTATAATGAAAATGAACAAGGTGTTGACAGCATTATTTATTTATTTATACTCCGCTTTATCTCACCAAAGGGGATTCAAAGTGGTACCCAAAAGTCGTTCCTTGGTCTTGACCACTTGAAGCTTGTATCTCCGGTACTACAAACTCTGTTCAGTTAACATATATTTTGGAAAACTTTTATCTTTAACTTGGAAGTAGAGTGATAAGTTGTAATACAGAACATGCTATACTCCTAGATTGTATGGAGAAAAGGCTGGCAGTGTGGCTCTGCTGCATGAAGACACTGGCACTTGACATTTCTGGGTGTGTGGAGAGTAACTGAGAACAGGGCATTTGCATGTATCTTCGCATGTCAGGCATAAAATGCTATCAAGACACTAGGGCAAAGGTTTCCAAACGATGTGTTGCGACACATTACTTTGTCAGGTGCAGTGTGTAGGTGTATCGCGCAAACCTAACAAGAAATGATAAAATGCTTGGAAATGCATGCTATTATCTTATAAATTACGTTTTAAAACATAGAAATGAAAGGTTTCTTGATAAAGATTGTGTCTCCATGGATTTCATTATAACAATTCATGTATGTATCCATATCTCTTACAAGGGGTTGGTTTAACTTCTGGTTTGCTAGTAAAACTGAATTGCTGTCTCTCGAAATAAGGCACATTTAAAAATGGTGTCACCAACATGAAATGTTTTTGAAGGCTCTGGATTAGATCATATGGACAAGATGACCATGTCTGCTTCCTAAGCTGTCACATTACAGGGATACACTTTTGGTCCCAAGCCTTTCGGAGGGACACTCAACCCTCCCTCACTGCCTAGGGGTGAGAAAAGCAGTATAGAAATACTGTAAATAAATAAATAAAATAAAAACCTGTGCCAACTGCTCCTATGCCATGATGGATCCCTGCCTTTGACATGTGACAGAGACCCCTTTCACACAGCTAAATAAAATCCCACATTTTCTCCTTTGAACTGGGATATATGGCAATGTGGACACAGATACCTCAGTTCAAAGCAGATATTGTAAGTTATTCTGCTTTGATATTCTGAGTTATATGGCTGTGTGGAAGGGCCCTGAGAGAACCTGCAAGTTGAACCAGTCAAAAGGAATGATAAATACACCTTAAATATTAAGTGTCCACACTCGGCTCAGTGACATGCCCAAGAGCACCCATTTCATCTATATTCCCAACCTTTTCCTGGCCATGCTCCACCTAAAGGTAATGATAAAGATTTCCCCTTGACATTAAGTCTTGTTAAGTCCGACTCTGGGGGGTAGTACTCAACTCCATTTCTAAGCCGAAGAGCCGGCATTGTCCGAAGATACCTCCTAGGTCATGTGGCTGGTATGACTGCATAGGGTGCCATTACCTTCCTGCCAAAGTGGTGCCTATTGATCTACTCAGATTTGTATGTTTTTTGACTGCTAGGTTGACAGAAGCTGGGACTAACAGTGGGAGGTCACCCCATCCTGCGGATTCGAACTGCCGACCTTCTGGTCAGCAAGTTCGGCCCCAAAGCCCCACCTAAGCATCTCTAAAATCCTGACGCCTACCCCGTGACATATAATTCAAAAAATTATTCACATGGAGGAAGCCTAAATAGCCATTGACTTGATCTAAACAAGCTTCCAAAGAACGTGGCCTCCATGAAAGAGAAGAGGGCCTCTTCCACACAGCTGTATAAAATCCACATTGAACTAGATTATGTGGCAGTGTGGACTCAGATAACCCAGTTCAAAGCAGATATTGTGGATTATCTGATTTGATATTCTAGGAGCCCTTCCACACAGCCATATAACCTAGAATATCAAGGCAGACAATCCCACAATATCTGTTTTGAACTGGGTTAGCTGTCTGAGTCCACAGTGCCATATATTCCAGTTCAAAGCAGATAATGTGGTATTTTATTCAGCTGTATGGAAGGGGCCCCAGTTCAAAGCAGTTATTGTGGATTACATTGCAGTGAGGAAGGGCTCTGAAAGATGGAATGGACAACTGAAGTAATTATGCTCTCTCCACTTCTCTCTATTCACAGGCTTTCCTTTTAGCCATTATAGCCAGCTGACTGCCATGTACATTCTGATTTCAATTTGTGCATGTCACTATCTATCTATCTATCTATCCATCCATCCATCCATAAATGTAATGTTAGTTTGTGGGATTAACATAACGCAAAAACCACTCAACGAATTGACACCAAATTTGGACACAATACACCTCTCAGGCCAACAAGTGACCATCACTCATAAAAACACTGAAAAACACACCAGAAGAGACTTAAAAAGCCAAAAAATGAAAAATACATTACAACACATGCGCAAAATCACATATATACACAAACACACATATATACACATATACACAAATATATACACACATATGCACAGAAAGGGGGAAAGAAGGAAGGAGAGAAGGAGGGAGAGAAAGAGGAAAGGAGAGAAGGAAAGAAAGAATGGTAGAGAATGGAAATGGGAAATAAAATGGAAATAAAAGAAGCAATAATTGAATGTGCACACGCAGTAATAGTATTACGGTGGAAAGATAAAACAAAATGGACAGTAAATAAATGGTACCAATATATGGTGGAGCAAATGGAATTCGAAATTATGAATGTGAAATTAAATGATTTAAAAATCAATGAAAATAGAATGAGAGAAATGGAAGAAAGATGGACATGGGTAAGGAACTATATCATGAATCAATCCGGAGATCAAGCTATAAGAAATAAGATACAAATGTTATATAGTATATACTGGATGCAAATGTATAAAGATAAAGATATAAGGATTGTCTCAAAAAGAAATGAATATGTAAAATAAAACAATCCTCGTGATAGTGGTGGGAATTGTAAATGTTTTGTGTGTGTACGGTATGTATTTTAAAAATAAAAATTCAAAAAAARAAAAAACCAAAACAAATATATAAGGGGAAGGAAGGAAGGAGAGATGGAGGGAGAGAAAGAAGAAAGGAGAGAAGGAAAGAAATAATGRTCAAGAAAGAAGGAAGGAGAGAAGGAAATAAAAAGGGGAAGAATGAAGGAAAGAGAGAAGGAAGGAGAGAAGGAACRAAAGAGGGAGGGAAGGAAGAAAGAAAAGAGAAGAGGAAGGATGGAACCAAAGAGCAAAGGAAGGGAGGAAAGAAACAGGTAGAGAAGGAAGAAAGAAGGGAAAGAAAAAGAGTGAAGGAAGGAAAGAGGGAGGGAAGAAAGGAGAGAAAGAGGAAGTGAAAGTTAGCCACAGCAGTTACTGTATGTATGTGTGTGTATATATATATACTAGCAGTCCCCTGCCACGCGTTGCTGTGGCCCAGTCTGGTGATCTGGAAAATAAAGTAATGAGAAAGTGTTGGTTTCTAATATATGTAATGTCTTTATGCTTGTGGGTAAACAGTATTTCTTGCTGTTTCTTTGCCAGTGTTGATGTCTGGTTTGCCTACTCTGGAACATGCAACATATCATTGTCCTTCTTTAGGGGTCCCTTTCAAATCTTTGATACGGCATCTGTCATATACATATATGTGTGTGTGTGAATGGCTGGATGGCCCTTTGTTAGGAGGGCTTTGATTATGTTTTCTTGCCCTGGTGAAGGGAGTTGGACTGGATGGCCTTAAGACAGCATTTCTCAACCTGGGGTTTGGGACCCCTGGGGGGGGGGGGTTGCAAGGAGGTGTCAGGAGGGTTGCCAAAGACCACACAGTATTTTCTGTTGGTCATGAGGGTTTTGTGTGGGAAGTTTGCCCCAATTCTGTCATTGGTGGAGTCCAGAATGCTCTTTGATTGTAGGTGAAATATAAATCCCAGCAACTACAACTCCCAAATGACAAAATCATAATTTTTGAGTGATGGTCATTCCTTGTGTTGTGAGACGTTTTGTTGCCAAATTTGGTGTGATTTCGTTCATTGGTTCTTTTGTTTTTAGGGTACTCATTATGCACAGAGCATACACACACACACACGCCGTCCCCTGCCACGCGTTGCTGTGGCCCAATCTGTGTATATGTGTTTTGTGTGTGTATATATGTGTGTATATATTTAAGTATTTGTTTATAAGTGTACATGCATATAGTGTATATGTGTGTATATATTTGTGTATATATGTGTGTGTATATGTGTACATGCATATTGTGTATGTGTGCTTGTCTATATGCATATTTGTGTGTATATATGTATATATGTGGATATGTATGTGTGTATGTATATATGTATGTGTATTTGTGCATATATATATATATATATATATATACGTGTGTGTCTATGAATGTGTGCATGTTCATATGTATATGAGTGATACATTGTGTGTATGTATATATGGTGTATTTTTGGGGTTTTTAAGTCTGTTCCGCTGGGGTTTTGTGTGTGTGTGTTTATGGGTGATGGACACTCATTGGCCTTATAGGTGTCTTGTGTCCAAATTTCGTGTCAATTCGTCCAGTGGTTTTTGGGTTATGCTAATCCCACAAACGAACATTACATTTATATATATATATACTAGCCGTCCCTTGCCATGCATTGCTGTGGCTCACATGGGGGTTCTGTGTGGGAGGTTTGGCCCAATTCTATCGTTGGTGGGGTTCAGAATGCTCTGTGAATGTAGGTGAACTATAAATCCCAGCAACTACAACTCCTAAATGTCAAGATCTATTTTCCTCAAACTCCATCTGTGTTCCTGTTTGGACATATGGAATATTTGTGCCAAGTTTGGTCCAGATGCATCATTATTTGAGTCCACAGTGCTCTCTAGATGTAGATCAGGGGTCCTCAAACTAAGGCCCGTGGGCCAGATACAGCCCTCCAAAGTCATTAACCCGGCCCTTGCTCAGGGTCAACCTAAGTCTGAAACGACTTGAAAGCACACAACAATAAAAGCAGGCCCACACTTCCCATTGAAATACTAATGTTTATATTTGTTAAAATTGTTCTTCATTTTAATTATTGTATTTTTAGGTGTTATTTGCACTACAAATAAGATATGTGCAGTGTGCATAGGAATTGATTCATTTTTTTCAAATTATAATCCGCCCCTCCAACAGTTTGAGGGACTGTGACCTGGCCCTCTGTTTAAAATGTTTGTGCACCCCTGATGTAGATGAACTACAACTCCCAAACCCGAGGTCAATGCCCACCAAACTCTTCTAGTGTTTTCTGTCAGTCATGAGAGTTCTGTGTGCCAAGTTTGGTTCAATTCCATCGCTGGTGGAGTTCAGAATGCTCTTTGATTGTAGGTGAACTATAAATCCCAGCAACTACAACTCCCAAATGACAAAATCAATTTTTTTTGAGTGAAGGACATACATTGGGTTGTTAGGTGTCTTGTGTCCAAATTTGGTGTCAATTCGTCCAGTGTTCTGTTAATCCCACAAACGAACATTACATTTATATATACATACACACACATATATATGCATATACATACACATATACACACTGGATGAGGCCTCTAGAACCGTAAGAAAGGCAAGAAATTAACTGTTAGGAACTCATTCCTAAACTGCCTCCCTTAGAAATGAAATTGCCCCCCTTGTGGGCGTGTGCCAGGGATCTACACGGTAGAATGAATGCGGCGTGACTCCACTTCCAACTGCCATAGCATCCTGGGTTGCTGTAATGTGGTGAGGCACCAGCCCTCGCGAGTAGGAGAGGCTATGGAGAGGGACCCTGTCAAGACACAACCCTGAGGATTCCACAGCAGATCAAGAAAGGGGTGAAGGGAGCCCTTGCTTCTTCTCCCTCCTCCTCCTCCCTCCCCCTCCCTTCCAGGAAGAGGCTCGCGCGGAAGCCTTACCCAGACTGCCGTGAAGGAAGCACCACGCGCTCTGCCGCCGCCGAGGAGGCCGCCTCCACTCCGCCAGGGGCCCGCGCTTCCCTGCCAGGGTCGACCTTCCACCTCCCAGCGCGGCGTTCCATCCGCCCAGCCGGGAAGAGCCCGCCCGGAGGGAGGGAGGGAGGGAGGCGGCGAAGTCTTGGCTCTTCCCTTTCACTCTGACTGCCGCCTCATTCGCGTTCTACACTGAGGGGGAGGAAGCCCGGAAGTGAGCCACGCTGAGGGAGGCGAGGCCAGGGGGCGTGGCCACCGTCGGCGTCGCTCACTTCCGGGCTCCCCCTCCCTCCCTCCCTTCACTCTGGCTGGCTTCTGCAGCAACCGCATTGTTGCTATCATGGCGCGGCTCCTGGCTCGCTCCGATTGGCTGCGCGCCTCCACGTGACGTAACCCGACGTGAAGCCAACCCTTCCTGGTTACTATTACTTCCCTCGCGGGCGCAAACAAGGCAGGAGGCAAAGTTTACTGAAAAGGAGAAATGTGGAACGAATGCAATGGGACACCGCTTTGACCACCATGCCTCATTGCTAGGAAGTTCTAGGAGCTGGAATTTTACAATAATAATAATAATAATAATCAACATCATAGAAGAAGAAAAGTGTTTTTTGAAACAGTTGAGAACCAACTTACTAATAGGTTGTTGTAGGTTGTGCAGGTACAACTGTACCAGGAGCTCCAATTTTGTTTGCTTTGCATTTAATGTTTGTTATAGTCCTGAGTTTCAGGGACTCTGCAGATAGGTGGCTTATTTTGGCTGCAATCATAGGGCAAGCCACCTGTCAATTATAGTTAGGTTCCCTGGTCTCAGGCCGGTAGCCAGGATTTTGTTTGGGGGGGGGGCTGAGTTTGGTTCGGGGAGGGGGCTGAGTCTGAGTGAAAGAGGGTTTACCCTAGCAAATCTTTTGTATTGTTACCCCAATACCCCCATGCATATGGGATATATTGAGCACGGTGATCAGATCATGATATGAATAATCATAACAGTTTTAATAATGTACCAGTAAGGCCTTCTTGCGGAGCACCATCAGAATTTCGGGAGAGGGGGCTGAAGCCCCCCAAGCCCCCCCCCCCCCGGCTAAATGCCTGCCTGGTCTTGCCCCCTTTTTTGGGTTTTTGAGGGAATAGGAGCCTTTTTGGGTTCAGTCCACACAGAGAAGCTTTCCATGCAGGACATAAGACCAAGATCTCCTGTAGAAAGCTTCGTCTTCTATGGCTTGGCTGGGGAGATATACAGCCTACAGCTTGGCTGGGGTTATACAGCCCACAGCTTGGCCGAGGACCATACAGGCTTACAGCTCCTTTGCTGAGAGACTTCAGCCAGCCATCACTGAAACCTGAACTCCTTTTTCCTCTGGAAGTCTACAAAGCTCTGCTTGGTAAGGGTCACTCACGGAAGCCAGAAGCAGTTGGTACCAGGTGCAGGGGTTCCACGCCAACAGAGATAAAGACAGACTGCCCAGATTAGAAGTTAAGGATTTCCCAATTTGTTAAAATACAGTTTATGAAGATAGTGCCTGTTCCCTGTGGACAAGATTGAGAGCCAATAGACTGTTAAGAAAGCCTTGAAGTACCTATTTGTTTTCATCAATAATAAAGAACTTTATTGAACCTTTAAGCAATCTAAAGACTCTGTTTTAAGGAAATCCAAGGGCCTTTTAATCTGAGGCAGCCCCGGTGTCTCGTTGGGAACACGGAATTTATGTCCTGTCAACAGTCTTATGCACAGGCCCAGTGTGCGACAGCACAGTAGGTCTTTAAACTTACTTGCCCAATGACGCACAATATTCACACCAACACAATCACCATAAACAGCTTGCATTCTCTGATTAATCTCCATTGGGGTGACACCTTCTGCTGTCAAGAATTCAATGACTGCATGTTGCTTAAGTTGCATTGACTGACCATCTGCGCAGGGTTCCGTACTTCTCACCGCTGTTCAATGCTAAGGCTTCCTGCCAAAATGGAACTATAGAGGACAGTCTACTGAACAAGCCAGTATCTGCCGCATACACGTACTGCCATCTGTTGAGGAGTTATGAAGGTGGAGGCATTACTTTTCATTCAGAATAGAATAATACCAAAATGTTAAAGAATAGAGTTGGGTGTCATTAGTATGCTCATACAGAGCTCTAAATCTGGCAACGTTTTACAGCAGTTTTACAGACCTGTTACAATCCTAGAATGCTAACTCTAGAATCATCAAAATACACAACATCTACTCAAAACGGATGCTGCATACAAAGCAGTGACAACACTTATTCACAATATACATGTGCCATTATGAACAAATTAAGTTTTCCCAGTTGTTAGTTGTAACTCATTCATTCAGGCCAATCAGTTAGAATCTTACTGCATACTTCACTGACAGTTCTCTTGAAAACAGTGGGACTTATTTTGGGGGCAAATGTATACTTTTAAAAAAACATGAGTATAATCTCACATCTCATTCATGCACAATATGCATGCTATATATATATTGCTTATAACAATTCTATTAAAAAGGAGACCAAGGCATGTAAGCCACCATCATGTCTGTATAATTTCTGAAAGTATGCATCTTTGCATTTTGTACATTTTTATATTGTTCTTTGACGTGGTTTTCCAAAAGGGCTCTGAGCATGAAGCAAGAAATACAGCCACCCCTCCACATTCGTTGGGGTTATTTAGGGTACTGATTCAGAAAATTGCAATGGATAGACATCAGCTCTATTTCCTTAGATATTGTCATCATGATTTTCTATAGGTGAGCAGATGGAGACTGGCATGTGGCATTTGTTCTGTATCTCAAACACTAGAATGGATAGGGGGAAACTAGTACCATTCTTGAAATCAGCAGGTCAAATATACCCAGAAACAGGACTAACATTTGAGGCACCGAGTGAGTGTCGGCCAGTCATCAAATCTGCAAAAGTCAAAACTGCAAATGTGGAGAGACAGTACAGAGTGGACCCTTCTTATGTTGAAGTTGAGCTTGCAGGCCCGTAAGGGCTGTTAGGAATTATGGGAGTTGAAGTCCAAAACACCTGGAGGGCCGAAGTTTGCCCATGCCTGATCTAGTGCCATCACTCCCTTCCTAGGAAGGACTGCAGCAGAGGCGGGAAATTCCTAGGCGACATACAACGCAGCCTTGATCAGCCCTCTCTGTCTGGAACGCGGGAGTAAGGATGAATCACTCAGGGCGATGACGCAGGAAAATCGCGCCCACGCGCCAGCAGAGTACAGGGTTCGGGGCCTTGCGTCATTAGAAGGCGCGGTGAAAACAGTAGGCGGGCAGACTGGGGGCGTTCTGAGGCTGCGCGGAAGGCTGGCTCTTGCCTCACCATGGCTTCGGTGGTGCTGAGCGAAGCGGAGAAAGTGTACATCGTTCACGGCGTCCAGGTAACGGCCGCGGGGAGGAGGCAGGGCCGGGGAAGGCGTCCCTCGCCTACTTCAGCGTTTAAACTGACTGCCCGTGAGGCCGCTTCATAACTGAAAGTGTCAGAGCATGTGCAGAGTGCATTTTCCTCTCTGCTGGTTGCGTATTCACACTCCTATGCTTATTTTTAAAGCCCATTATATGTGTTTCTCTATTGTGAACGAGCTACATACCCTCCTGATGTGCTTCAAGCTGCCTGTCCCTTCTACACTGGCATATAATCCAGATTGTCTGCTTTGAACTGGATTATATGAGTCTACACCAGGGGTCCTCAAACTTTTTAAACAGAGGGCCAGGTCACAGTCCCTCAAACCTGGATGGCCAGATTATAATTAGGAAAAAAATTAGGAAAAAAATTGAATGAATTTCTATGCACACTGCCCATATCTCAGCAAGCAAGAGTCCAAAAGTGGCAGGCTCAAACCCAGAACCGCAACCAATGGCTGATACCAAATGAGAGACTCTCCCCTGGGCACACAGAAAACTGGGCGACTTGGAAGGCGCTGAACAGACTGCACTCTGGCACCATGAGATGTTTGTTTTGTTCTGTTAGAAATGTAATACAATGGTCTGGTTGTCCCTGACACGATAAATAAAAATCTTATTTGTAGTGCAAAAACACTTTAAAACAATTATTAAAATGAAGAACAATTTTAACAAATATAAACGTATTAGTATTTCAATGGGAAGTGTGGGCCTGTTTTTGGCTGATGAGATAGGATTGTTATTGTGTATTTTCAAGTCATGTACTTTCAAGGAGCCCCCGGTGGCACAGTGGGTTAAACCCCTGTGCAGGCAGGACTGAAGACCGACAGGTCACAGGTTCGAATCCAGCAAGAGCGTGGATGAGCTCCCTCTATCAGCTCCAGCTCCTCATGCGTGGACACGAGAGAAGCCTCCGAGAAGGATGGTAAAACATCAAAACATCCAGGCGTCCCCTGGGCAACGTCCACACCAGAAGGAACTTTCAGTTTCTCAAGTCGCTCATGACACAACAAAAAAAAAAGTAGTTTCTGAGCAAGGGCCAGGTAAATGACCTTGGAGGGCCGTATCCGGCCCCCAGGCTTTAGTTTGAAGACCCCTGGTCTACACTGTCATATAATCCAGTTCAAAGCAGATAATTTGGATTTTATATGACAGTGTAGAACAGGCCTCAATGGCAACCCTTTTAAATTTCTTAGGCAAGGAATCCTTGGAGGTAGGTTTCCCCCAGTTTCTTCCTCTGTAATATAGCCTACAGCACCTGATATTCAATTATTCATTATTGTTCTCACATCCAAGTACTAAGCAGAGTTGACGTTACTAGTCTCCAAGATCAAACAAGATCTAGTTTTTTATACATTGTGTCAGAAGCAAATAGAGAATACAGTTAAGGTAAAGGTTTCACTTGACATTAACTCTGGGCGGTGGTGTTCATCTCCATTTCTAAACCGAAGAGCCGGCATTGTTCATAGACACCTCCAAGGTCATGTAGCCAGCTTGACTGCATGGAGTGTCGTTACCTTCCTGCTATTGATCTACTCAGATTTGCATGTTTTTGAACTGCTAGGTTGACAGAAGCAGGCCCTAACAGTTGGAGCTCACCCTGCTCCCCAGATTCAAACTGCCAACCTTTTGGTTAGCAAGTGAAGGGGCTCAGCGGTTTAGCCCGCTGCGCCACCAGGGGGCCCAAGAATACAGTTACAATGTATTTTAAAAACCACAAAGTTAAAAACTTGGCATTATGCTAAATTTCCTTTGAGCAGAAGCTGGCCACTTCAGGTGTCTCTGGTGTCACTATAAGAAAGTCCCCCATTGCGCATGTGGCAGGGCTCAGACTGCATTGTAGTACGTGGTTTGTGGTTTGCTCTTTTCCACACTCACATGTTGTGGACTTCACTTTGTAGCCCCACTCCTTAAGCTTAGGTCTGCATCTTGTGGTGCCAGAACACAGTCCATTCAGTTCCTTCCAAGTGGCCCAGTCTTCTCTGTGCCCAGGAGAGAGTTTGTCATCTGTTATCAGTCACTGATTGAGGTTCCGGGGTTTTACCTGCCACTTTTGGACTCCCACTTTCTTAGGTGTTTCTGTGAGTATCTCTGTAGATCTTAGGTCTAGTGTCTTTGTTTATTTAGGCATCTACATAAAAAGTTCAGATATTGTCAATCGTTTCAAAGGCATAGCTTATGGATAAGGTCAGTTCTTATCTTCACATTGAGCATCACAATTTCTTGAAAAATATGCATGAAAATAGGCAAGGAAGTGTAAACATCTCTGATGGACTTCTGTCCAATTTTCCACATCTGAGATTAAGGAGGCAAGCCTTCTAACCAAACTTTAGATTTCTAAGGCCCCTTCTACAGTGATCCTATATCCCAGGATCAGATCTTAGGGTACTTCTAGACAGCCATATAACCCAGAATATTGAGGCAGAAAATCCACAATATCTTCTTTGAATTGGATTATCTGAATCCACACAGCATATAATGCAGGTCGAAGTGGATTTTATACGGCTGTGTGGAAGGGGCCCTAAATTATCTCCTTATCTCAGATTATCTGGTAGTGGAGACTCATAATGCAGTTTAAATCAGATAGAAGGGGCCTAAGCCATCTTCAGTCCCTTGCCAGAATGAAAACTTCATATGAATCAATGAATGAATTAGCATGCTGATGCACGAATACCTCAGTGTTTAGAAACCAATGCTTGATCATTGGTTCCTCATTTGGGGATCTCTGGCAAGTGTTCTGTTGTTCTCATACATTTGCCAGTGGCTCTTTTGACTTTGAACATCTGCTTGATAGAAATATAACAGGCTAAATTTCTGTCGACCTAGATACCTGTGAACAAACTGGAAAGTGCAGCAGACAAACTTTTCCAGTTTTCAACAGTTTATTCGTTCAGTTGCTTCCAACTCTTCATGACCTCATGGACTAGCCCACACCAGTTCCTTCAAAGTCAGCCAGTCACTTCAAGAATACCATCCATCCATCTTGCCCTTGGTCGGCCCCTCTTCCTTTTTCCTTCCATTTCCCCCACCATCATTGTCTTCTTCAAGCTTTTGTCCCATTATGTGGCCAAAGTACTTCATCTTTGCCTCTAATATCCTTCCTGCCACTGAGCCGTTGGGCTTTATTTCCTGGAGTATGGACTAGTTTGATCTTCTCGCGGTCCAAGGCACTCTCAGAATTTTCCTTCAGCACCACAGCTCAAAAGCATTTATCTTCCTTCACTCAGCCTTCCTTTGGAATCGTGTATGTACATTTATACTTACCTGTGTCAGTTAGCACTAAATAACAACATTTATGGGTCTTTTAGGAGGATCTTCGAGTTGATGGTCGTGGATGTGAAGATTATAGATGTATTGAAGTGGAAACAGATGTAGTATCTAACACAAGTGGATCTGCTAGAGTTAAACTAGTAAGTACACCTAACTAATCCTGCTGCAAGTTTCTATGTGTTTTTAGCTAAAAGCTACAAGGGGTGGCTTACTGGTTGGGCAAGCAGCCTAGAAGCTAGGAAACAGGTAAGGTATAGGTGCTACATAACTTGAAGGAACTCTCTGGTAAGCTTTCTGAAGGACAGAGAATGCTGGCTCAGAAGCAGAGATCAGAAGAAAAGGTCTTCAGGGATTTGAAAAAAAAAGAGAATAAGAATCAATAGAGAAAGGGAGTTGAAGGGAAAAAAATACAGGATCAATGGAAGGTCATGGTATTATCAGAATTGCTGTGGAAATGGGTATTTATAAATTGTATCGCTACATGTCAAGTTGAGTTAACCTGGGACGTCGTCAGAAGAATTGTATTATCATTGATTTCTATGGCTAAATTTTGGCTGCCTAAGAACTACTGAGAACTTTCCCCCCCTAAATATAGAAATTAATTAAAAGTTACATTCATATATTAAAAATGAAGAAAAATACATGTATTAAATGTAGAGTTGAAAGCTGAAGGGCTCAGTCAAACTCGGTCCTGCAGGCAATATATGTGTTCATCGTACTTTGTTAAAATGACATGTATTTCTTAGCATATGCTGTGTGAAATCTGCAGTTACAATCATGCTTAACAGCCCTGCTAATAGCTATTATTGTGAGGAATTACAGCTATTGACTATGTTATTATCACCACATGTTAAATGCAGATGGTTCATTAGCAGTGCTTACGCATTTTAGCTCTTAAGATAATGCATTAGTTGGTTAACTTGTTTCGTACTTTGCATGATCTTTCAGAAGTCTAATATGGTGATTTTAAAGCTTTTTTATTTTTTTAAGAAGTGCAGGATAATGCTCACCAATATAGAAACTGGAAGAATTGAGTGCCAATGGAAAATCAAAAAAATTGCTGTTTTTTTTTTAACAGGGTCACACAGATATCCTAGTTGGAGTCAAAGCAGAAATGGGAGTACCAAAGTTGGATAAACCAAATGAAGGCTTCCTGGAATTCTTCGTTGACTGGTTAGTACAAGCTGCTCATAGTATAAATTAAAACATATACCATGAATACTGATTTGATGTTAGCAGCAAGACTAAGAATGCTATATGTCTTTTCAAAGTTTCCATGACGATGTTTCCAAAGACGATGGTGATAAATTGTGCTGATCTGGCCTTCCTCCATGGACTCCAGATGACGTACATACTGTATATGCTTGTGTAGAAGCTCACCTCACGTATAAGTCAATGACAGGTTTTGGGACCAAAATTATGAGTTTTGATATGATTGATGTAAAATTCAAGAACAAAACCTTGAGGCTTTGGACCCATTGCATCAAGTGTTTGAAATATCAGTTCTACCTGGGGACCAGCTCCTTCTGGCCACCATTGCTGTCATTTTCCCATTCAGGTACTCCAAAAGCCCTTTCGCTACCCTGCTCAGAAAAGAGATTCCTTTTTTTGGGGACAAAATATAATGTACATTATTAATGCTCCCCCCACCCCCAAAAAAGATGAAAGCCTAAAAGAAGCAGACCCACCACCAGCTTTACTCTCGGTTGCAGCACCACTTCAGTCACTTTGGAATGTCTGAGCAGGAAAATGGCACTAGTGGTGGCTGTTTGGTTCTATCCCAACTTGATAGGAAAAGCAGGAGAAGGCATTTTTCTTTTTCCAATAGGTTTTCCTAAAACAGACCCTGTTCTCAGTTACCCATCTGGGAAGAACCTAAAAGAAGTGCTGCTTCCATACTGTTCCTTGCTATGGCTCTTTGGCACTACTTTGGCTTGGTGGGGAGAGCAGAGGGAGATCAGTGTGTGTTTTATGGTAGGTTCTCCCAGAATGGCCTTCGCTTTCCAGGGAGAACTTAAAAGGAGCACCCCACACACCCTCACTACAACCCCTGGTTATCTGCAGCCAGTCCACTGGTCTCCTCAGAGAAGAAGGGGGATGGCAACAAACCCCCAAATGACTGCTTCTGCCAGGGCCTTCTGCTATGGCTGATGAAGCTACTAGTTTTTAGTCTTTCATTTTTCTTCTCTGGCTCCTCTTCACTGCCCAAACAACCACCCTTGGTTGTCCATAGCCAGTCTACTTGTCTTAGAGAAAGTGGAGAGCAGGCATAACCACTCTCATGCTGTATTTGTGCATAAGTTTGTGATGCAGTCAGTTTGACTAGAAAAAGCAGATCTCAAAATGTAGCAAATGATTCTACTGTCTTTTATTTTGAATCATGTTTCCAAGCCATTTCAAAATAAGAATTCATCTGATAGAAGTTGTGTTTGTTGATCTATTAGTCAGGACCCCAAAATGGAAATCATAAGAAAAGTGAAGTCTGGTTTAATTTAAAGGAGGGGGGATCCTTAGATACCTTTGGAAAGATAATTTCAAATACTGTAGTCTCTAGGAGGTTTAAGATGTTTTTGTTTCCTTTCTCAAGGCTTACTTAACATGTTTATTTCATTCAACTCATGCGTATTGTAGAAACCAGTGTTTTGTAGTGGTTTAAGTTTTGGACTATGATTCTAGAGACCAGTATTCAAATTCTTGCTCAGTCTTCAAGCCCACTGAGTAACCCTGGGCAAGTCTCTGAACCTCAAAGAAAGGCAACCCACCTCTGAACAAGTCTTGCTAAGAAAATCTTATGTTCACCATAGGTTGGAAACTACTTGACAGTATTTGGCAGAGCTCCCAGTGGCGCAATTGGTTAAATCTTTGTGCCGACAGGACTGCTTACTGACAGGTCAGCAGTTTGAATCCGGGGAGAGCAGGCTAAGCGCCCCCTGTCAGTTCCAGCGCCCCATGAGAGAAGCCTCCCACAAGGATGGTAAAACATCAAACATCCAGGTGTCCAATGGGGAACATCCCGGCAGACGGCCAATTCTCTCACACCAGAAGCGACTGCAGTTTCTCAAGTTGCTCCTGACACACAAAAAAACCAAAACAACATATTAGATTTGGATAAAAAGTTGGTTGACATCCATGTTCTGCATATTTTGAGTGCTTGGGAACCTTTGACTATGAAATTTATTATTATTATTATTATTATTATTATTATTATTATTATTATCTTTATTTGTACCCCGCTAGCATCTCCCGAAGGACTCGATGCGGCTTACACAGGCCGAAGCCTCAGAACACAATACAGTAGAACATAACAATAAACAAAGCAAATCAAAAAATTAAGCAAAATAACAGCAACAGTGACAATACATCAAGACACTTTAAAACAGGGCCGGCCGGCGCAGTGGGGTACAGGGTTAAAAGTGCTGAAATGGCAGGAGGAACGTAGGATTAAATAGTGTGGTGTGCAGTAATATTGTTTGTACTAAAGTGCTTCTAGGACTTAGGGTGGGGGATTCCTAATCTGAGAAGGCACATCGGAACAGCCAAGTTTTTAGGTTCTTTCTGAAAACTGCTAAAGTAGGGGCCTGTCGAAGATCTTTTGGAAGGGCATTCCAAAGTCGGGGGGCCGCCACAGAGAAGGCCCTGTCCCGTGTCCCCACCAAGCGCGCTTGCGACATGGGTGGGATCACGAGCAGGGCCTCCCCAGATGACCGGAGCGAGCGTGTGGGTTCGTAGATGGAGATGCGGTCACGCAGGTAGGGTGGTCCCAAACCGTTCAGGGCTTTGTAGGTGAGCACCTGCACCTTGAATTGGGCTCGGAAAATAAATGGCAGCCAGTGGAGCTCCTTAAACAGAGGGGTAGACCTCTCTTGATAATGAGCCCCGGTTAGCATCCTGGCTGCCGCCCGCTGGACCAATTGAAGTTTCCGAGCCGTCTTCAAGGGCAGCCCCACGTAGAGCGCATTGCAGTAATCCATTCTAGAGGTGACCAAAGCATGGACCACCCCGGCCAGATCAGCCTTCGCGAGGTACGGTCGCAGCTGGCGCACAAGTCTCAGTTGTGCAAAGGCCCTCCCGGATACCGCCGACACCTGAGCCTCAAGTGTGAGCGAAGAATCCAAGAGGACACCCAAACTGCGGACCTGTGGCTTCAGGGGGAGTGTAACCCCGTCCAACACAGGTTGCCACCCTATACCCCGATCCGGTTTACGATCGACCAGGAGGACCTCTGTCTTGTCGGGATTGATCTTCAGCTTGTTCTTCCTCATCCAGATCGACACAGCGGCCAGCACTCGTCCAGCACCCGAGAGGCCTCCTTGGAATTAGGTGGAAAGGAGTAGTAGAGTTATTTATTTGTTGTGTCAGGGCAACATGTCAATTATATATTTATAACAGAACAAAGCAAACAAACAGACAAAATACAAAATTTGTGAGTTTGGTAGTTGATTAAATGTCCTTTGACCAGTATCTGGCCACTTGGAGTGCTTCTGATGTTGCTGCAAGGAGGTCCTCCATGGTGCATGTGGCAGGGCTCAGGGTGCATTGCAGCAGGTGGTCAGTGGTTTGCTCTTCTCCGCACTCGCATGCCGTGGATTCCACCCTGTAGCCCCATTTCTTAAGATTGGCTCTGCATCTCATGGTGCCAGAGCGCAGTCTGTTCAGCGCCTTCCAAGTCGCCCAGTCCTCTGTGTGCCCAGGGGGGAGTCTCTCATTTGGTATCAGCCATTGGTTGAGGTACAAAGTAATGCCCAGGAATACACTTTCTTTCTTCATAAATGTTAAGCCATTAAGCCTCCACTAGATGGCGCCAATTGAACAGATTTTAAATACCAGAAGTGTTTTCTTTTTTATCATTTACTGAAACTTCCTTGTATTGAATGTATTCTGTAGTGTGTGTATGTATGTGTGTGTGTGTGTATGTATGTGTATATGTGTGTGTGTGTGTGTGTGTGTGTGTGTATATATATATATATATTGAAGAAAAATTTTAATTATACATAAAAGGGGAAAGAGGAAAATGAGGGGAGGGTTGGATTAGGAAGGGAAGGGAAAGAAAAAAAGTAAAAATAAAAAATGAGGTGTGTTGGCGGGAAAGGGAATAGTGCAAAAATAGTGAAATAGATGAAAGGTAAGAGTGAGGTTGTGGGGGAGGGTTTTTTTATGATCCTCCAGATCCTTCAGCACATAATATAAAAAGTTACAGTAATTATGACCTCATTTTAAGTGTGATCTTGTTTTCTTTTTCACTTTGAGAAAGACAAGAGGGGAATATAAAAGGAGTGCCTAGATACAAAAAAAGGTGTTGTATCTTTACCATTTTTGTGGAAGAGCTACTTTCAGCACACTTGTTCATAAGATAGGTTAAAGCTGCTGAGATTCACTCTTTCATACACTGTTAAAGGCATGGGAGTCTTGTCTTCTTTGTCTAGAGCAGTGATTCTCAACCTGTGGGTCCCCAAATGTTTTGGCCTTCAATTCTCAGAAATCGTAACAACAGGTAAACTGGCTGGGATTTCTGGGACTTGTAGGCCAAAACACTCGGGGGGGGGGGCACAGCTTGAGAACCACTGGTCTAGTGGTCATTAGATGCGAGTCTTCCACTATAATGTTTATTTTTTGTTTTAATTGCACTGTTACTGAAATGAGGAATGAATCAACTAGAGTCTGGCTTTTTAAAATGTTATATGTTGAGCAATATTCCTGAATAAGAGAAATACTTTTATGACTTTGTGCTTAAAATTCAGGCAACTTCTTAAGTCATGAAGTGTGCAACCAAGATGTTGAGAGTTACCACTAAGTTGTTTTCTTGATCTTCATCAATGCAATTTACCCAAACAAATCCCATGAGCAAGTATGCAGGCTTCTGATTGATCTAGTTAGATATTGGGCATGTACACATATTACATACTATGTGTAATAGGTGGGCAATGCATGTGATTGTCATGGGAAGAGTTGCTATGACATTTGAGATTAATGATTATTCCAACTTCTTGTGACAGGAGTGTGAGCAATAAATCATTGACTCTATTGTCGAAAGCTTTCATGGCCAGAATCACTGGGTTGTTGTAGGTTTTTTCGGGCTATATGGCCATGTTCTAGAGGCATTCTCTCCTGACATTTCGCCTGCATCTATGGCAAGCATCCTCAGAGGTAGTAAGGTCTCTTGGAACTAGGAAAAT